TTTGCAAACTTCCTTTCCTAATCATGTTTGGAAATTGCTTGTTAACTACTTTTAAGATATTAGAGACCTTTGGATCGACAAGTCTGAAAATGTCGGGTGAGTATTCCTTCAAATCCTTCATGAAAGAAAATTTTAATCATAAGTTTAAGAAGTTAAAAAGTTAAAAAGCAAAAAGCTAAATAAGACTTTGTCCTAGAAAGTTATAAATGGATTAAGAGTCCAGATAAATTTGGAATAAGATTTTGGAATTAATTATAAAGAATCCTTTCTATTGGAAATAGATTTGTTTGGACTTTTACAAGATAAAATAAAAATGAGCAATTTTAAAAATTGGACACTAGATTTTACAGATTTTAGTTAAAGGAGAAAAATACACAAACCTGATTAATAACTAATTAACTGGGACATATAAAATGAGGCAAAACATTTTAACATTGAAAATATTGAAGGAAACTTTTGAAAAATGGAATCAGAAGTTATTATCAACAATGTTAATAGCAATGTTTGCGTCTATGGATAGACTGTGTCCAAAAGATATTTTGGAAGAAATGGCAGATGAGGAACAAGTTTTATTTGACAAGACAGAGATGGCATTGAAAATGGATTTACAAATGACATGTTACAAGAATGATATAGAAAAGGATGTCACACTGGACATACAAAAGAAAACAGTTGATGCTTTAAAAATGAAAAGAGAAATACAAATAATAAACCAAGAGAGTGATCTGGATAATTCTTTTATATTGGATTTACAAAAGAGACTTGTTAAAACTTTGAAGAATCTTGTGAGAAGGGACAAAGTCTATGACATTATTTGAATGGACTAAAGATTACGATTCTTAGAAGTAAAATGAAGTAATATAATGTTGGTTTATTTGATCAAGGTTAAAATAAGATATTTTGTAATTTCTGGTAACCCTTAATGGACTTTCTGCTGACACTAGGACTGAAAAGATGATGCTTTATGGATAAGATATATAGATATATATATAGATATATAGATACGGGATGAAGAGATCACTGGTTGTAAACTAAGAGGGGGTGAAGAGTTACAAAAATGCTTATACTTGTGATGAAGGTTGGAATTAACTTCTTTATATATTTTTTCTCTCATCACTATATTCTTACTTTTCTTCCTCCCCCCCCCCCCCCCATTTTCTATGTTCTTGTTTTCTTCTCTTTTGCACATTTCACTCTTTCTTTCTATTCTTTCTTTCTTTTAGTTTGTATTAGATTTTACCATTTTAATTAAAATCCTTAATAAAACTTATATAGAAAGAACAGATAGACACAGAGTTTCAAGTGCATTTGGATAAAATTAATTTCAGTTAAAGTTCCATCTGAAATATGGCACTGAGCCTGCTTTGGCTCCCTTGGTGGATGACGTATGTCAGAAACTAGATGGAGGGGGGAATGCAACACTATTTATTCTTCTGGACTTCAATACCATCAACCATATACAATTTAACTGGTACCATAGGATGTTTTGTGATATGTGTCCCATGGTCAGTCCTAGAAGACACCAAAGACTTCTGTGTGTGTGTGTGTGTGTGTGTGTGTGTGTGTGTGTGTAGAACTGCAGGAAGTTGTTCTGCATTTGGTCTAAATGATCACAGGATAGAGGAAGAGAGTCCTCTCTTATATGTTTTCAGGACAAGGAAAAATGGTTTGTAAAGCAAAGTCTTAACAGAGAGCTATCGTGGGTGAGTGACTGCACTAAGCCTATTTTGGAAAAGCTTAACAGTGATTATAAGAGTCCCCTGTATGGGCATCCTCAAGGCACAAAAGGCAAAGGTTATTATCTATCTGAAGGGAGAATCTTGCTAGAACACTAGTTGTAGAATTGTGAAATACAGCCCTCAAGGTTAGAAAGCTAAGGTGAGGTGTGTGGAGAAAGAGTGATCACAGGTGCTATATCCAACAGAGTTTCACATGGAGAGGCAAATATGTTAAATAAAATGAAATGGACAAATTCTCAAATATTTGAATGATGAAGCTCAAAAGACTGTTATGGCTGTGGTAGCTGAAAACAAACTGAGGAGATTAGTGGGAGCTGCACCTAGTTATGTAAAATAAGGACAGAGGAAAGTACTCCTTGCACCTCCAAATCTATTATCTCCAGAAGATTCCAAAGGGGCTCTGAGCAGGTACATAACCTCTTTATATGTGAATCACAAAGATCACAAGAAAGAAACACTGTAAATATAGGTTAGAAATGGTAACAAGATTAGAATAAATTTCTCCTTAATTTAAGAGTTTTTTAACCTTTCTCTTTGTTGATGTTTTGGGTTTTTTTCGCTTGAGCAATCTTCTAGAATATGGAAGATTAACTTTCCCGTCCTTGCAAAATCAGTTAAGAAGCCAAGGTTGCAGTTGATTATCCCACAATATCTGCTCATTATTTCAAAAAGCATCAGTTTTAACTAGAATGAAGAATTTAGATAAACATTGTTGTGTTTATATTTTAAAATGATGTCCAAATAGTAATAAAAAAAAATCTCATACCTTAATTATTTCCACCAACTGATCTACACCACTATCTCCTGGGAAAATTGGTTGCCCTAGTAATAATTCTGCCAATACACAACCTGCCGACCAAACATCTGGGGGGGGAGAGAGAGAGAAAGAGAAAGAAAATATAGGGGACCATTACAAGAATTGCATATCCAATTGTGCCTAAAGCCGCATCAGGTTAAAACATAAACAGCAAAGTTATATACAAGGAAGAAGATAGTTTACTATGTTCATCAATGATTCTTCTTCACCTTTGCAGATCATTCTGTTAGAGAAGGAATAAGCAACTTGGAAATCATGGGGCACATGCAGCATTCAGGGCCTTTATATTCCAATACTCTCATTTCTGCAATCAGTGTGTTGCTATTTATTTTTCAAATTTATATATTGCCTTTTCTTCATGAGCTCAGGATAGTGTACCTAGAATAACTCCAATTTTTTCACCCACAACAATCTTTGAGGGAGGTTGGGCTCATAAAGTATGACTGGCTTAAAGTCACCCAATGAGTATCCATAGCTAGGAGGGTGGATTTCAATATGCCTCTCCCCATTCCTAGTGCAGTTTCTTAAACACTGCACTATATGGGCTATGCATGAGTAGGGCTTTTGAAAAATAAGAAAAGCTATTCTAAATTAAGACCAAAGATTTATCTAGTCCACCATTCTGTGTCACACAACTGCTAACTAATTTATCAGGGAAATTCAAAAGCAGAATACTGTTTTCTCCCTAAAAATGGAATTTAAGAGCGTATAACTTACATTTTAGAGAATAAAAACATGATGATTAGTAGCTTTTGATAACTGTATCCTCCTTGGATTTGCTGCCTCTTTTAAAACTTGTTGGCCATTAACACATCTGGTAGCAGAATACTGCATTGTTAAACTGGAAGGTTTTTGCCACCATAGGCTAACACAGCTCTCCTCATAGAGTGGAGTCCTTGGGGTTCTCTGAGCTTGGTTCTTTTCTTGCAAACATTTCATTACCTGGCTAGGTAACATCTTCAGTGCTAAAATGGGATGGGGTTTGCTCTCCTCTCCTTGTACAATAGTTAAACTGTGTGTTTTTAAATAAGCATTTTAAACATGCCTTTTTACAGATACAAAATCTCTCCATATTTAATTTCAAAGGATTGTCTGAAGTTCTAATATTCTGGGATAGGAGAAACCCTTCAAATTCTTCTAAATTCCTCTTCAAGCTAAAAAGCCACAAATGTAATATTTCCTTGTAGCTGAGCTGCTTCAATCCACCTAATCATTTCTATAGTTTTCCCTGCCTTATCTTTAAGATATAATGACTAGAATGATGTACAGCATTTCAACATAACTGAGGGATCAGCAATCTTTTCAGGTACTAGGTACCCTCACAGGATGTTGTAGATGTTAACCTTGGTGACTCGAACCTATCCTCAACCTTGGTGACTCGAAAATATGTGGACTTCAACTCCCAGAATTCCCCAACCAGTTGAGGTCCACACATCTTCAGGTCACCAAGGTTGAGAAATGCTGCTCTAGAGTCTTTGCTAAGTGGTGGCACCCAGCCAAATACAGGTAGTCCTTGCTTAATGACCACAATCAGGACTGTAAAATTGGTCATTAAGCGGGGCAGTCATTACATGAGTCTGACCAGACCTGATTTTATGACCATTTTTACAACAGTCACTAAGCAAACTACAGACGTTAAGCGAATCACATGGTCATTAAGCAGATCCATCCTTCCCAGTGGACTTTTGCCAGAATTTGCTTAACAACCACATGATTTGCTTAACAATCATCATAAAAAAGCTTGCAAATCGTGATCACATGACTGCAGGGGTGGTCCAACAGTTTGCAATGGTTTTAAGGGCCACTACAGGTCATAAAGCACTTTTTCTGAGGCCATTGTAACTTTGAACCATCATAAACAAATGGTTGTTAAGTAAGGACTACCTGTAAATCTGATCTTGAAAAGGTAGGCAGGATCAGGCCCGATTAATACTAGGGAATCCAGGGCTGGAGGACAGACTGTGGAGAAAAAAAAATTGGCAATGGCAAACTGCATCTGGATTGTTGCCAAGAAAAGTATATGGTTATGTCTATGCTGTACTAAGAATCAAGCTTTACTCAAGAGAAATTTTTAAAACCTTCCAGTTGACTTAATAAACCTGCTTTATTAAAAGCAAAATAAAACTCAAATCTCTTTAAAAATATGAAATTTTAGCTCCATCCCTTCTTGTGACTTCATGATGTCACTACCTTGCTCCCCTGCAATTCCATGGAAGCAAAAAAAAGTAGTTTTGTCAAGAATGCAGCCCATGGACACACAAAAAAAATTGGTTGCCCAGTGTTAGGATCTAGTAACCAAGGAAAAAAGAAATTCCAACTGAATGGATTTCCTCTATACTCTTCCATTTCTTTGGGTGAGAAGAAATACGTTTACGTAATGCTGCATGTAACCCTTTGTTTTCCATTCTAATATACTGATCACTTCAGTTTAAAAATGAAGAAATAAATACATACCTATACTAGAAGTATAATCTGTGGCTCCGAAAATTAACTCTGGTGCTCTATAATATCGAGAGCAGATGTAAGAGACATTAGGCTCTCCACGAACTAGCTGCTTTGCACTGGAAATGAGATTATAATATAAAGCTTAGTATTCAATATTCAAAATATATAATTTTCAGTAAAACAGTTAACAGAGTATATACACTTCCTCTAAAAATTAAATCAAATAAGCATCTATCATAAATCTAAGTATTAATGGTAAATAAAAAATTCAGTTTATTTGTCATTAATACTTAAGAGTTATGATAGATAACATTTTATTATTCAATGTTAATGGCCTAGAAACTCCAGTTAAGTGAGGTTTAGTGCAAACAGGAAAAAGCAAGATAAAATATATTTGTAGGTAATATATCAAGATTTCAGAAACATTTTTTAAAAATATCCATGGATAAAAAATAAATTCTTAGTACAGAATCTTTTAACTCTTCACAGGCTTCAAGTACAGGTAGTCCTCGCTTAACAACCAAAATAGGGACCGGAAAATTGGTTGTTAAGCAGGGCGGTTGCTGAGCGAGTCACCACGTGACCAGACCCAATTTTATGACCTATTTTATGACAGTCGTTAACTGAATCAGTTATTATGCAAATCATATAGTCGTTAAGTGGATCCAGCTTCCCCAATGAATGTTTTTTGCCAGAATTTGCTTAATGACCATGTGATTCACTTAATGACCACAGGATTTGCTTAATGACCACCATAAAGGTCACAAATCATGGTCACGTGACCACAGGGGTGCTGCAACAGTTTGCAACGGTTGTAAGTGCGAGTACAGGTCGTACAGCATTTTTTCCGAGGCTGTTGTAACTTTGAACTGTCATTAAATGAACCATTGTTAAGTGAGGACTACCTGTATTAGTAGCGCAAAGCTGTCAGTTTTCCAGGGAAGATTCTTTCATTGATCCCAAAGGATCATACACATTTATTAAACTAACTAACTAACTAACTAACTATCTATCTATCTATCTATCTATCTATCTATCTATCTATCTATCTATCTATCTATCTAAAGGTAAAGACTAAACATAAAGACTCTGTCGAAGATCTATACACTGAATAATCCAGTAAACTTTTTAATTAATGAACAAAATAAACAAAAATATTATCCTAAAGGAAAACAAGACTATATAGTATTTGGCATTTATAATTCATTTTAAAATGCATGGTTTGTTTTGAACTTATTATAAAGGGTTCTTTAACAGAAATTATTATTATAGTTAATATACTCAAAAGCCCCAACATTCTTGACTCTTAGAAACCAACTTAGTTTCTGATTATTTCCAAACCATGCAAGGATGCCAAAAGATGTAACTCTATATGACACTGTAAATCAAGATTTTTAAAAAATATCCATAGCTGTATATTCCTGACCAATTCAACCAATTCAATTAGAACACTACTGTATACTGAATATACCAGAATTCTACCCGCTCTCATGTCTTTAGACTTTTTAAAGCATTTGACAAAGGCATGTAAATTTTGTTAAATCTGTTACTGGAAACAGAATCTAAATATAAGCTCATTTATATAATCAATCAGCTATAGTAATGGGCATAAATAGTAATTAGAAACAATAGTGGCACCAAACAAGATGACCCACTCTCTTGTTTTTTTCTATTTCAATGCAGAAGTGCATAATATTACAACAAAGATATTCAATGTTGTAATACAGAATAGAACATTTGATAATTCTATTGCCAGGTATCATGCTCTTCTTCAAAATCCTCTCTTAACATTGTAGCATTGATTTATAAAACCTTCGTGTTATATAAGTTTTATTACTTTTCACAAAATATTGCCAAAATCTTTGGAGTAAAGCCAATATTCTTTTGGTAAACTTATTTGGTAAAACCTCAAGTCTTGTTACTGGCTGTTCCCCTTAGGATTGCTCTAAATAAGACATCTGGTAAGATGCCATCTGCTATGGCATAGTTTATCTCTTCTCTCATGAGTTGTGAAAACAAAAGTTCTGGTAAGCAGAAATACTAATTTTATCACTTTTTACTGGAATTTGGGGAAGATCATGTGCCTCATATAAACACAAGAAGCAGGTTTCCCTTTTGTGAATGTAGCAGCCCACTTCTTCCCCTGCAGCTCCAATAGGAGTATTTCTTCAAGTGAGAAATAAACTAACCCACCTGCCGCCAAAAAATCAGGCATGGATTATGGTTGAAGCCACAATTCACATGGGCAATTTTACCTTCTATTATTGCCAGAGATGTAACCAACTTTGTAATCAATGTATTTCAGACTATATGGCTAAAGTAGATATACTGTGGGGAAAATAGAATGTTTTTAAAAGGTTGAAGAGCAAGGAGTCATGGTTGAATTATATGAGCAGTGGATTAAAAGAGAGGATTTAGACAAAAAAAGAAATAAAGAGCTGGTGGCTGCTAAGAAGAGCTGCAACACATCCAAGGTGAAGTGCGCACACGCACACATACACAAAATCATGATTTTTTAAAAATAAGATAATCACTTGTGGCTCCTGTGGAAAAAACACTTTCAAGGGCTCTTTAACTCAGATCATGATGGTTTTATTGACACATCTTACTGTGTCTGTCCAATATATAAATCCCTGCAAAGTCCAAACTCTGTTGTTGTGGAAATTCTACTGGAAAATTCAACTCTTTGAGGCTCATCTAATTGCATTACACGACCATCTCCGATAATGATCATTATTAAAACAATATCACCACCCAATACAGATGAACTTCTCCCAAGTCTGCCATTCTGTCTTTGTGTCAGTTGCTGCGAGTTCCAATCTCCACACAAACATAGATGCAACTGCAAAAAAATTAATCAAATTCAAAACTCCAAGTATCCTGTTTGCGCTTCTCAAAATGAGAAAGTATCTAGAATCCTTTCAAATCTATTTAAAATATGTTTTTGTGACTTAAGTATCAAGCCTTTGCTGCCTAATATAAAACACAGACACTCTGCCAAGTCACTTCGCCAAAAAACAAAACTACCTCCAGACATCAACTCATAAGATAAGCTAGCCTTGGGCACAGATAACAAAGACCTGCCCAAGGGCCATTTAACTCTCCTAACACCAGGTGTCATCCTCAAAGAAACTGTGATAAAGAATTCCTTTAGAATTCTTTAGAATTCCTAAGAAAGATGGAAGAAACAATTATCCTTTACAAATTGGAGCGGCCAATAAATTTAAACAAGCAAACAAACAAGATAAGAGGTCCTAAAACTAAGCTCTGATACTGCACTGCTTAAAACCACCTTGTAGGACAACACCTAGTACTTGTGCCTCATGAAACACTGCTTGACTCACATGTAATCTGCATCTGCATAACCAAACCTGTCTTCCCCTCCCTTCTCCCTTCCCTCATCACAATTTAAATCCTACAGCAGTCAAGCCAGCTCCTTGCCAATTAATGGGACCAATTCTACCTCATTCTTCTCCAAATTTGCCTGATCCTACATCCAGCCTCTCTTACTTATTCTCCTGAACTATAGGAGCCACTGTCCCACAAACAGCCCCTGTGGAAGTGGCAAACAATGTCATCTGCTGACCCTGGTGCCATAGCTCTCTAGACCAGTGCTCAGCAGAATTCAGCCAAGGGATATTTTTCTGTAACTCAAGAAGCTCATTCCAAGTTTTACAACTCATGTGTATTGGCACTAGAGACTAACTCAAATACAATTTCCTCATGCCTGAATGGCCACCTATTGCCAGATTCAATCTTATGCCCTATTCTGGGCTACTCCAGGAGCCCTTCTCGAACAAATGACTTTTGATTTCCACTCATACTCTACATTTAGAATATATAGGTAGTCCTCAGTTTAAGAATGAGTTCTGTTCACAAGATCTATCCTTAAGTCAAATATGTATGTAAGCTTATACAGTATAATACTATAAAAGTAGTACTGTGTAATTACCGTGAACCATTGTGTGTTTAACTCAAATCATTGTGTATTTAACTCGAAGTTTGCTACAATAGGCTCTGTTCTTAACTACGGGTCATCCTCAAACTGGGCGTTCTTAACCCAGGGACTACCTGTATCTAGCTGGCATTCCAAACAGAATGTCCCTATTTTCACTTCTCTACTAGCCTGACAGTATCTTCTCTATAGCATGATAGTATCTTCATTCAGGAAATATAAGAACTGAGTTGATGACTTTGGCTGGCTTCTCCACTTTCTCACTAGCTGCCCACCTAGTTTGAAATGGGGGCGAATACTAAAGAACATAACTTTCTTGATTTCATCCAAACTTCAAGCAATTACATCCAATCCAATAATGTATACCTCTGTGGTTACTGCCTTGGAATTAAAATGAAAAAATCAGATGGAGAAATGGTACAGCAATAAGGTAAATACTCTGCATATACATTAAATTGGAATAAGTTTAATTTAATGCCAATTAATAAAAAGATACCTATAGATGTAGATAAAATAATTAGGATTTTTTTATTGGCCTGATTTTATTAAATACCAAGGAATAATTATTCATAGGTGTTTTATTATATGTGCCATAGAGAAGGGCAGAAGGTAATATGTTATGTCTTGCTCTAAGGAATTCTTTCCAAATAAATCGCAGATTTGCAGGTGTTCATTGTGGTAAGTGTTCTGGTGCTATACATGAAAGACTACATCCATGTGATTCTGGAGAAACAGAGCATGTCCTCCTTTACTGCAATTACTATGGAGAACTCCAAAAATACCATATAGCACCAATCCTCCAGAGATTTCCAGGCAAAACAGGCAAGTTCTATACTAAACTATTATTATCAATCATATCAATCCATCAATCAAATCCTTTATTACGGTCAATGACTAGATGTAGGTACAAAAGTGAACTATATTGCTGTATGACAATCTAGGAGAGTATTAAAATATTAAAACATATCGATAACTAAAAGTGCGGTGATAGAATGCAAAGTGTATACTACAATAATAAAATTCTACCTGGAATACTTTGAGCATATTGATGATGCTTACTTAATACCTACTTAGTTGTATATTATAATCAGACCTTAGGGTTATATAAGAGGAGGAGAGAGAGAAAGATAAAAGAAAAATAAAATAGTCCAAGGATGTTGA